TGGGGAAAAAAGGTATGAAAGGAAAAGATAAATCAGCTACAATATTTGGAAGAATAATGTTTCCCTCTTTAACAACACAGCTTAATTAGGAAAAACAAAACTTTAGAGTCACATTCTTAAAAAAATTCAGGCTAGGTCATTGTCAAGCTGTGTAACTGGTCATTACTCAGTCTTTGAGCTTTCCTCTCCTAAATTATAAAGATAATACTAACTACCACAGAGAGCTGTGAGGTATCCAGCACTTAGGAAGAGCCTGATAAGTGGTGTGTTTTCATTTTCTTAGGTACTGTCTTTTGTTGTTGTTGTTACTTTTTAAAGACTTTATTTATTTGACAGAGAGAGCACAAGCAGGAGGAACAGCAGAGGGAGAGAGAAGCAAGCTCCCCGCTGAGTAGAGAACCCGATGCTGGGCTCCATCCCAGGACCCCTGGATCATGACCTGAACCTAAGGCAGACGCTTAACAGACTGAGCCACCCAGGAGCCCCTTAGGTACTGTTTAAAGGAAATGGTTATTGTATTTTAATTGTTTCTTCCCTCTGATTCTACCCCAGCATTTATTTGTTTTTAATTGAAATGTAATTGACATAAACCACTTTAATATTTATTTGTTAATAATGTATCTAAGGATTTAAAATTTATTTTTTAATTCCAGTACAATTAACATACACTGTTAGTTTGTTCATTTGTTTTGTTTCTTGAATTCCACATATGAGTGAAAGCATACGGTATTTGTTTTTCTCTGACTAACTTATTTCACTTAACATTATACCCTCTAAATCCAGCCATGTTGTTACAGATGGCAAGATTTCATTCTTTTTATGGCTGAGTAATATTCCATTGTATATATTCACCACATCTATCTATTCATCTATCAATGGTCACTTGGACTATTTCCATATCTCAGCTATTGTATATAATGCTGCAATAAATATAGGGTGCTTGGTGCATATATCTTTTCAAATTAGTGTATTCATTTTCTTTGGGTAAATACCTAGTAGTGGAATTACTGGATCATATGGTATTCTATTTTTAATTTTTTGAGGAACCTCCATACTGTTTTGCACAGTGGCTGCACCACTTGTATCTAAGGGTTTAAGTCAGCTTCCTCCCTGGGAAAATAAATTTCCCTTGGAACAAACTGTATGGAATTAGAAAACACAAAGCCAAAGGTTAAACTCTAAGAGGGCTGTTCAAGTACATCTTAGGGTCTAGGGAAAATGTATATACCCTACTGGTCTGAAGGACATCATGGTAATGAGAATCATCACTGTAAAAAGATCTTGGAAGTATATACCATATTTAGTCTGTTTTCCCCACTACATTTACAAGGCTTTGTATCATAATAAAATCTTTATATCTACCTATCTATCTATATGATATATATCTGTGTGTGTACAAAACACATATAGGTGAATAACTTACCTACACAGTTTTTTGCTCATAATCAGTATTCAGTAAATGTTTATCAAATTAAAATCAGTAGACTATTTTTATTTATATCCACATACATATGTATACACATGTGTGTATGGATTAAGGGATATAGTGCTGGTTTTGTAAATAAGACTTCTGTTTGGCCAAAAAGTAACAAAAATGAAAGAAAAAGCCAATGGTAAATTGGACATCAGATAGGACATTTTTCTAGTAAATAAAGGAGACTATTTTTTTTTTCTTTTTAAAGATTTTATTTATTTATTTGACAGAGAGAGAGAGAGACAGCGAGAGAGGGAACACAAGCAGGGAGGGTGGGAGAGGGAGAAGCAGGCCTCCCGCTGAGCAGGGAGCCCGATGCAGGGCTCAATCCCAGGACCCTGGGATCATGACCTGAGCCAAAGGCAGACACTTAACGACTGAGCCACCTAGGCACCCTGAGCCTATATTTTCTAATGGTCTTTATATGTATTTTTAATTTGACTGTTTGTAGACTCCATTTACTACAAACATTTACCGGAGGCTACCAGAAGTATACATATGGTGCCATGTTGAAGTCACTTAAGTAAATATAATACCATTATCATTTGTAGGGTGGCATGGGAAATATATATCGTATATAATTCCATTATGATTACTTGTTATACTTCATTTATACAAAATTAATTATTCCACCTACTACTGTAATCATAAATTATCCCTCAAGATTTCAAGAGAAAAAAGGTTAACTGCAATCTGTGAGGACTGCTTTCTAGGTTTTTTCCTTCAGATAAGAACATGGCATAGTAGGGAATGTAAGCTATCACAAGAATTATCCCTAGAAAAACACAAAGTTGCATTTCCACATCCCCCCCCAACTCCACTCCCATTCTGTGCTCCTTCTTGCAACTTCATGGACATCTCTGTGAGCTCCTAGGTTTCTTCTCCATTCAGAATTTGTATGATGGACTGTGTTTCAATAGTGTCCCCTCCCCCAATGTGGTCTGGCCCTTTGAGATATTACCCTACAGTTTTGGGTTGTTTTTTTTTCCCCACTCATAACAATTTCTGTTGGTAACAGTTATCTTGAATGTTGACCATGAATCTGACCTTATGCTTTGATAAGATCCTCTATTTGGAGTCCTCTATTCTGAGAGTCATTATTTTTGGAAATATTTACTAATGCATTCTTTGTACTAGACACTGAGAAATATATAATGAAAATAATCCCTACTTTTAAGGCTCTTACATTTTAGTAAGGAAAATGGATAAGAAAATTAATAGCAACATATTGCAATTACTACTATAATGAGGTATATCTGGATACCATTGGTCTTCAAAAGAGGGACTTCTCTCACTCTTTTTTTTTTTTTTATTCTTATGTTAATCCCCATACATTACATCATTAGTTCTAGATGAAGTGTTCCATGATTCATTGTTTGTGCATAACACC